AAATGTACAAGGAACTATCCAGCATTATTGATATATTTATCAAGCCACTAATCCCCAAATTACCAACAATTATATCATGTTAACCTTTATGTCATGTACTGAGGAGAATGTATCAAGCAAATGGTGTGATCACAGACCAAAATATTGTGCTAAAAGATGCAAAAAAAGGTAGTCAAGAACTATTTAATAGAATGAGAGAATTACATATTATTAAGCCTCCTAAGGTCAATTTTCCATTAGGAAAAGCAAAGTATGTACCGCAATTTCTTGGAGGAAATGCTTGGAAAGATAGTAGTGATCCAATAAAAAAGATAGACTATATTAAGAGTAAGATTGAAAAAGTTGTTCTGAAGGTATTTCAATTAGAAAGACAAGACGATTCATGGCATAAAGCCAATGAATATTTCACTGGAGGTATTGGTACTGAATCAAAGAATAAAGAATTAGATGAAAAAATTGAGACTATAACAAATATCATCAAATACGTTGCCGGAACTATAAAAACCCTACCAGAGATAAAAATAGAGTCAAAGGATTTGAGAACCATGTTTAGTGAGGGAGAAGTCCCACCCGAACTTATGGATTATATTCACATATGTTTTGATGCTGTATTAGAATATAAAGAAGATAAAGGATTTGATTGGGATTGTTTTTTATGTGCTATGGTTGGATTGGCGCAAATTGTTGCAGGTGTAGCTTTAGAAATAATATCTGGGGGTTCAGCTCATTTTATAGCACAAACATTAATTGCAGAAGGTATAGGAGATATAGTTTTTGCAATACAAGCTAGTATAGAAGGTAATTTTAGTTGGAAATCTTATGGCCAGCATAAAGTGCAAAGTTTGATGATATCCCTTGTGACTGTAGGAGTAGGCAGTTTTTTATCAAAAGGAGCTCAAACAGGTAAACTTGCGGTTGGTCTGGCAACAAAAACAGCAATAACCAAAGCTATTATGAAAACTGTAATAGTAGAAGCTTATAGTGACCCCTTATGTCAAGACCAAATTTGATCTAAAATAAGTCATAATTTTCTTTTACTATTGCCAAGCTTTTTTCATTTAAATCTGTGTTAAAACCGCTATTTTTCTTGAACCAGCACTTGGATAACAATACAGTTCTGCAGGTGTCTTATAACCCAAACTCTGATGCAAACGTTGATTATTATAAAGCTCAATATACTGCTTAATCGAATTTCTTAATTCAGTTACAGTTGTATAGCTGAACAATAGTATATGTTCATACTTTATACTCCGCCAAAAACGCTCTATATACACGTTATCAACCCAGCGTCCTTTGCCATCCATACTGACCAAAACTTTTTCTAGTAATACCCTATTAATCCAGCGATGACTAGTGAACTGGCAACCCTGATCAGTATTTATAATCTTAGGACAAGCTTTAGAAAAAGCTTCTTCAAGCATT